TACTGATTCTGTAATACATATAAATCTATACTACAAGAAATATATACAAAAATGTGTACAGCAGAATTATTTGTAATTACTAAAAACTGAATGCACATATATTCATCAATAATAGGGTGCAAAATTCATGATATAGTCAGGCAATTAAATCTCATAAAGCAATGAAAATAAATACATTCTTGATGCTTACAATGTGGGCAAATTTTGTAAATGGAATAATGAGCGATTCACAAAATAATATTCAGAATAGTACCTATTCTTGTAAAAGCAAAATAAATTGATATTGATATAGATTCACAAATAGGTAGTAAACCTATAACCAAAAATAAGAAAATTACTTCTATAAAATTCAAGATAGCACTGATTTCCTCTTTCAAATACTCTTTTATCTCTTCACACGGCAACTTATTTTTCTTGAAACCATTGCTGAGAGATGAGTTTCCCTCCTAGATGCTTCATGGCTTCTCATAGCTAGTAAGAACGGAGAACTCATTATAGAACTCTTCACCACTAGCAAATAGACCTTTTGAGGTAAGAGTGTGTGTTTTGTTCACTGCTGAATCCCTCATGAACCACACAGCATAGGTAGCACTGAAGTGATTCAAAATGGGTTGGATAAATAATTGAATGATTCAAGAGTTTAGAATCACTTGTGTTTTCCAAACAGTTTGATTGAATGAGTAATATTTATATTAAATTGAAATATATTTGAGTAAACACTCTGTAAGAAAGGGATAATATAATTTTGTTCAAGAGGTTATCGGCAGTATTGTCTAACCTGAAAATTGAATAACTTTAAAAATATTGCTCATTCACGCAGCAGGCCCCTGAAGAGCTCCTTCTGTGTCTCAAGTTCTACATTAGGTACACATGATGAGCCAGACCAGACATACTAAGAACAGAGTCATAATCAAAACACCAAATATCCAGTTACACCTGGGAGATAAGTGGGAAGAATTAGGAGTTATCTAGACCTTAAGTACAGACAAGTATTGATTTGGGTAAAGGGATGGGCAAGGTACCAAATGTGAGTGATCAACATGGTAGCATTGAGAAAGAAGAAACCATAGAGAGGTACATGGTAGGTACACACACCAAAGATGAATCCTTTTGTGTGTACAGTACTGCACTGTCAGTGATGACAAGCATTGTTCTACAGGTCGATAGATGTGTGGACAGGCTGAATGATCAGGTATGCCCAGGCAGTGGGGAGTGTGCCCATGACCATGTTAGCAGACAATATTCCTACATGCATGTCTGTATATGCTGTAAGAATGTCCAGGTGTATAGTAGAGTTGACAAGGGACAAGGCTTTGGTGGCTTCTTGGCTACAGCCAGCTACCCTGAGTGAGCTACTAGTTGGACCTGTGGGCTCAGGATCATGGTCACAGGGAACATCAAGCTCAATTGACATTACATACTACACAAAACATTGTTATACAGCCTACCTTTGTGAGTAGTGACTAGGAATTTAAAAGCTTGCAAGCGGCCATCTAGATGCAACAATGGGTCTCTCCTCTTCTAGAACAACGAAGAAGGAAGAAAACCAAAGATGCATGGAAACAATTAGTCCAAGGCACTGGTAGACCATACAATCTTCAACCTATTTGACTGTAAGACCAGAACTAACTGGCGCCCAGCTACCACTGTCAACCACTCAGAGGGAGATTGCTGCAGGAGATCCTGGATAGAGTGGGAGAACAATGTGGAACAAAACTCAAAATCATTAATAAATAAATAAATAAATAAACAGGTTTGGTGGTCTGATAAGAGTTTGGTGAGACCCCAAGACTATACTCCCTAGCTACCCTTCAGATCTGGAGTTCTCACTCCTGTGGCTTCCAGGCAAACAATAGACAGGCATATGGGGTTGTCATTTACATCAAGTAAATACACTACTTGGAGCGATCAATCCTGGGAGAACAGAAGGGCAGTGTTTGCACAGGGAGACAGTGCTTGCACTGGGGTTGCAGGAGCGCATGGGAGAGAAGGACATAGGGAAGAGGTAACTATAGGGAGCAAGTGGGAAAAGAGCTGTTACATTGGGCAGAATTGCAGTCAATGTCATGAGACAAAATGTGTATGAATTGCTGTAAGGAAGATGAATTTCCTCTGTAAACTTTCACCTAAATCATAACATTTTTTTTTAAAGAGTTATCTTTAAAAAGTTATTTTTAAAGAGGCCAGGCTTTGGGTTGGGTGCCTTCTATATATTAAACTCAGTATTCAAAGCTCTCAGTGAGAATTATACTATTTAATTAAAGATTTGTTGTTGTTGTTGTTTGCCATGAAATCAATTCTGACTCTTAGAAGCTTTGTATGACAAAGAATAACTGCCCCATAGGATTTTCTAGGCTGTAATTTTTACAGAAGCTGATTACCACATCTTTCCTCCTACAGAGCCAGTGATAAGCTCAAATGTTTGACCTTTCGGTTAGCAGCTGTGGGTTTAACTATTGCACCATCAAGGCTCCTTCTACATAAATTCAGAACTATTTAATGAAGTACTACATTAATGAAGGAGTCTGGTGGTTCTGTGGTTAAGGCATTGGGCTGCTAACCAAAATGTGTTGTTGTTGTTGTTGTTGTTGTTGTTGTTGTTGTTGTTATGTGTCCTCGAATCAGACCCTACTTTAACCAAAATGTAGGCAGTTCGAAATCACCAACTGCTTCCTGGGAGGAAGATAAGGCAATCTACTGCCATAAAGATTTATAGCCTTGGAAACCCAATGGGGATCTCTATGATTCAGAATCAACTCCATGGCAGTGTGGCTTTTTTATTATTATTATTATTTATTTAATGAAAGAGAAACCAAGGTGGTAGTGAGATAAAGTAATTTGACCATGAGAATTGCTGTGTAATAAATCTAAGGCTTATCCTGAGGCCTCTCTGACTCTGCAATTACCCCATACTTTATAACTGGAAAGCAAGGATGTTGGGAAAAGACATAAAGAGTGTAGAATGGTACAAAGGAGGAAAGGAAACCAACATATCAGAGCCAATAGTATGGGCTTTGTATGCATATTACACCACTTGTTCGGGAAGTTTTATTTTCCTTACCTTAGAATGAAGTAAGGGGAACTCTATGGGCTTAGGAAAACTCACAAGAGATTCACAGATCTTTAGATTTTAAGTGGAAAATCCAGGACTGAAATTCAACACTGATTAGTTTTAAATCCAACCCTCTTTCACTTATTCCATAACTGCAACATTCCCCCAACCTAGCGGTAACTTCAAACTCAAGATTTTAGTTTCTGTTAGCACAGTGCCCTCCAATGTAACAACCATACAAATGAAACACATATTTCTGGAAAAAAAAAAAACATAATTCATAATAATCATTAATGGTATCAGTAATATACATATAACTAAACCAAAAATCAAATACATTGCCTTGGAGTTGGATTTGACTCACAGCGACACTTCCTTGGTTTCTGAGGCAGTATCACTAAAGAAGTAGATTGCCTAACCTTCTTTCCAAGGAGTGACTGGTGGGTTTGATCCGCCAGCCTTCTGGTTAGCAGTCAAATGCCTTAGGCACTATGCCCCCAGAGCTCCTTAATAACTAATATGGTTTAATATTAGTTTTTCGTCTATGGTGTCCCTTTGAGCAGTTTTGCTCTTTCTATTTCCTTACTTTAATCTAATAAATGATATCCAAAGTTAAGTATCTATCTCTAGACATGCTTCTCTTACTTTTCAGGTGTCATTTTTTTTTTCTGCTGACTTGGTGGGATTATTTCTAAACTCTGATGCATTCCTTTTACACACTGCAAGAATAATCATCATTTCAGATTCAAAAGTATTTAACTCAAGTGTAATAAAGGGAAAGTATTTATTAGTCAATTGAAAATGCAATAGATTTGAAAGCATTTGCTTTCCACTTCTTGATAGTAAAAAGGCAAGGTCAGAGTTCTGTGCCAGGTGAGACTAACTTAATGACTCTATGACCCAAAACACCTTGCTGTAAATCAATATTTGTGCTACTTTGCAGCAGAGACTCTGGATATATACATGAAATGCTTGAAGAGAAAGTAAGACTGGTGACTAATGTAAAATCATTGTTTTTTTTTGTCCCAGTTTCAGAAGAAAATGTCTGAGATTAAAATTTCCTAAATTTCCACCCACTCTAAGATTTTCATGCTTTAGTTAAAGCCTAAAGAATCTCAATATGCAACCATTTTATTTATTTACAATCCTATGTCCTATAAAATTAGATAAACCTATGAACACTCTAGAAATTTAACATGGATTGATTTTAAGTGTCAGTATCAAGTAGTTTTAATGGCCAAACAATATTGGAAACATCGATATTTACTTCATGAATCTCACTTTCAACATTTGAAATCAAAATGTGTTCAAATGCACTTACTTACTAAAAGGGAGCTCTTGTAGCATAGTGCCTAAGGAACTTGACTGCTAACCCGAAGGCTGGCAGTTCAAACCCACCAGTCACTCCTCGGAAGGAAGGTTGGGCAATCTACTTCCGTAGTGATACTATCTCGGAAACCCAAGGAGGGGTCGCTATGAGTCGAGTCCGACTCAAAGGCACGTAACAACAACAATTAAAAGTATAACTGGAGACAAGGGAATTGCACACGTTAACTATGATTTATGGAATATTGCAAAGTGAGAGAACATCAAATTCCCTTTTAGTATTCTGTTAGGATATGAAATCTTCACAGTGATTCACTTTTAGGTTTAAGGCTTTGACTCCCCAAATCTCGCACAAACTGGTCAGTGAGGTTGGGATGTGAGATAAGATTCAAGGCACTATCAAAGATCTTTCTTATGTCTTGAGTGGAGATAAAAGGACTCTAAGGAACTTAATTTTAAGAGATAAAATAAGAAGAGTACCAGAGAGGAGAAATACCATACACATAGCAAGGAGGGAAGATCTGTGAGGACTTTGTGTTGAGGTCCATGAACCAGAGAATAGAATGAAATGAAAGATGGGGAGGGGAGGAAAGAAGAAATGGAAACAGGTTGATAGTTTTTCCTAGGTTTTCAAATTTACAATTTTTCTTAGTCTCATCCCTGATGACATCATACTCCTCAGGGCTGCTGTGACATCTTTGTTCCGGAGGCTGTAAATAAGAGGATTCAGCACAGGGGTGATAATGGTGTAAAAAGCAGATACCATTATGTCCTGTTCTGCTGTGTGATAGGATCTGGGAAGCATGTAGGTGTAAATGGAGGCACCAAAAAAAAGCAGCACTACCATCATGTGAGAGGAACATGTGGCAAGAGCTTTCCTTCTACCTTTAGCTGAATTCATCTTGTGGATAAGATGCAAGATGAGGGCGTATGAGAAGGAGATGATGGAGACAGGGATGAGGAGCATAAGGACACAGCACAGGTACATGAGCGTCTTATATAAGGAAATGTCAGAGCAGGAGAGCTTCAGCAGGGCAGGGGCCTCACAGAAGAAGTTCATGATCTTCCTCGACTGACAAAAGGGGAAGCTCATGGTAACTGGGGTGAGCAACAATCCATCCACTGTTCCCAGAAACCAGCATCCAGAGACAAGGAGATGGCAGACTCTCTGGTTCATGAGCAGCGGGTAATGGAGAGGTCTGCAAATGGCAGCGTATCGATCGTAAGACATGGCAGCCAGAAGGAAAAACTCAGCTCCAGCGAGGGTCAGGTAGAAGAACATCTGGACCCCACAACCTAAGGAGGAAATTGTATTCTTTCCTGTTACCTGGCCCACAAGCATTTTGGGGACGGTCACACATATATACATCAGGTCCATGAGAGAGAGCTGGCTGATAAAGAAGTACATAGGGGTATGAAGACGGGGCTCTGTGTGGATCAGGAGAATGAGAAGAGCATTCCCAGTTAAAGCTATCAAGAATAAGATAAAGGACAGAGAGTAGAGGAGGACTGCATGTTTTGTTGAACTGAAGAGCCCCACCAGGATGAAATCAGTGCTTGAAGTTTGATTCCCTGAGTACATGGTCCACCTTACAATTTTCACCTAAAAGAAAATAAGTCATTGTTTTAAAATATTTCATATATACATTACTTTTCTATTCTTTTTCCAGTAAGGCATTTGCTTTCAGCTATTTTTTCCAAAAGTGGGATTGAACTGGTGTGGAATCATTACATCAAATTTCAGTGAGGCCACGCCATTTAAGGATTACAAACAATATCAGGTATCAAGCATACCTGGGAAGGTAGACCTCTTATGAGCTATATAAAGAAACAAGGAATTCAAACTCTTTAAGTGTTATTTATTTCCCCTAACACTGAGAATTTTATAGGACTCTCCACATAGGATGATCAGAAAAACAAAATGAAATAATGCATGTTAAGTCTGTAACATAATGTGAGTATATTATTAAACAATTCACTAAAGCTCCCAACAAAAGTCATTATTTATTTTTCCTTTTACAGATAACACTCATCCTTCAAAGCAGTATCTAATACTTTACACATTCTGTAAACATTGGATGAATGAGTGAATGAAGTTCAAGGGACTGGATGGAACAGTTGGGTTGAAACAAGCACAAACCTGAAGCTTTATAACCAAGCCTAAGAGTCCTTCCAGGTCTACATCTTCATTTACTTAGAAAACTAGCAAAATTCTCCACTCTATAAAATGTACAGCTTTGCTCAGCAAGTGCTTTGCCTGAATATTTCAATTTTTAATTTGAAATACATGAGTTACACCTGACTCACTTACTTTGAAAAGAGAGAATTCAGTTCTCAAATATGGTAAAGTCAGAAAAACACTGGCCAGGTTTAGCCTACCTCAGTGTTGCTATGCACTCATTAGAAAGATATGTAGAGGAAAACATGCATAAAACTAAGACACACAGAAATATGAATAAAACACATTATACTTAAAGGGGAATAAAAACCTAAGACTCCAGGAACCTTAAAGTCAGAACATAAGAGATCAAATAAGAATCACATTATTTGCTCCTTTTTTTGTAGATTTATAAAAAGCCTGAAGAGATATGTGAAAAGACACACTCCAAGTAGAGAGAAAAATGCAAGGCATGAAGAGCTCATACCTTTTTTTATTGCAACACAGAGCAAATTTGAACCAAACCATCAAGTGAAGTGATCGACTACTTTCTCCCTCCCAAGGCGAGGCCACCCAGGTTTAAATTCAGGGAACAACATAGGAAAGTTACATCATCAGTTTCTTCACATTAGGGAATTGAAATGAACTGCTATTGTTAAATTGTCTTCTGTTGTTGAACAAGCATAAAAATACAGCATTGAAGAAGTCAGGAAAGTTTTACTTTCTTTATTGTTCATATTTACCATACTATGTACCGACTCTTACTTGGAGTTTCTACTTTCTTTAAAATATTCTTGGAATCCATAGTTTTGTTTGTTTGTTTGTTCATTTGTTTTTGACAGCTATATTCCATATTTCCACTCAAGGTGCACACAAGAATTAGACACATTTGCTACTTAGGTTGTACATCTAGTCAAAAAGGATAACCCACATTTTTTCATGAAGAAATCATAATTTAAAATGTTTCATTTTCCACTTTGCAAAGTATATTTTTACATTTAACATTTGTCAAGGATATCACTACTCTTCTATTAAAAAAAAATTAATTTAAACCTCAGAAAGACAGAATCATGCAGAACGTCAGTATGGTAATGAGCACTTGAACACCTAAGATGATTCAAAGTCCTGCGCTCTTTCCCTCACACATTCTATCCAAAATAAAAAACCAAAATCACTGCCATGGAGTCATATCCAACTCATAGCAACCCCTCCTTGGGTTTCTAAGGAAGTATCACTGGGGAATCTGATCGCCCAATCTCCCTTCCAAGGAATGGCTGGCGGGTTTGAACCACCAGCTTCTGGTTAGCAGTTAAATGCCTTAGGCACTATACCACCAGAACTTGTGTTATCCAGTGATGGCTGTGGAAAGTTTATAGTATTATAAACTATATTAATTCTTCATAATGGGGTTATATTTTCAATTAATCTCCCTTCTCCACATGATCTGGAAAATTTAAAAGTGCATTGTAGGTGCAGAGCCTGAAAGATCTTAACCAGAAGCCTTTAGTATGGAGATTGACACGTCCCATGCTGAGCCCTAATGCCTGTAGTAAATGTCCCATACCTCAGAGCCTTTTATCAGAAATCTGCATGGCTCCAAAAAGCCTCTCACCCACCTTTGAAGACTATGAGGGCTCTCACCCCCCGGGGTTTCACAGAGAGTATGCACATATCAAAGAGATCCGCCCGCCCGAGAAATCTCTCACTCACCTTTGAAACAGGGGGAATTCCAACCTGCCCCAAATTCCCAAACCCCTATCATAAAAACCAAATCATCTACTCCACCTTATGTTTCTCTATAAAAATCTCTTAATGTAAGAGCACGGGGTCTTTTGCTCAACCCATTGCAAGGGTGAAAGCAAGGACCCTAACTTAAGTTAGCTAATAAACTTTCCTATTGCTTTTTGCATTGTCATATGTTAGCAAATTATTCACCCCAAACTACTCCTTCATAACCTGGGCACAACATAGGTTCCTATGAACTAGTAATTTACTGTGCAATTGTTTCCTAAGTGTTTTCATAACCATCACGCCAAGTCTCAAAAAAATTCAAACCTGAAATGATATCAATAAATCTTAGCTGGCTGACTCTGTTCACTTTCCTATTTCCATTGAAATGCTCAGCCTAATAGTTACAATTGAATGGAGGAGGCCACAAGGCAGGAGATAAAATATTATAATGGGAAAATTGTTTGACTTAAAGTTCCAGAAATTAGAGTTCAAGTATTACTTGTGCCTCTGATTAACTGTATAATCTTAGTCAAGTCACTAAAATCTCTGAGTTCAGTTTCTCAGAATTCAAGACAAAGAGGAAATATCATCCATCCTATGCCTCTAACCTCAAAGGCTCAGAAAATTCTCCCAAAGATCAGTATCATCAAAGACTGAGTGATGCTTCTATCACATTGTACAAGTGGATCCTGACACCGGGAATCAGAATTAGTGCCTCCCCTTCTTGATGGGAGACCAGCCTCCCCTACAGCTTATTTCTCACCAAGGTCTCAATCCTGGACACCTTCATATTTTCTGTCATAGATTCTCTCATGCTGTACCCTTGCTCTACATTAATTCCTTCCATTTCTGCCTGTTGTTTTTTTTTTGTTGTTGTTGTTGTTATGTGCCGTGGAGTTGGACTTGACTCATAACGACGCCTCCTTGGGTTTCTGAGGCAGTATCACTATATCACTACGGAAGTAGATTGCCCCATCTTCCTTCCGAGGAGTAGCTGGTGGGTTTGAACTGCCAGCCTTCTGGTTAGCAGTCAAGTGCCTTAGGCACTATGCTACCAGCCTAGATTATAATATTTCATAAGTACTCAGCTTAAATGACAACAGCATGTAATGTTTCTCTACTCACAAATCAGTGAAAAATCCCATAACTTTTTGAAACATCACAGCACTTTGTTTACACTCTTCTCAGAGATTTTATGTTTTATATCCTTGTAGTTATATATTTTTTTTAATTTCAACAAAAAAAAAATAAAAATGAGCTATATATAGCTTAACAAAAAACTACAAACTTAATTTTTAAAGGAAAATTAATACATAAACACATAAAATTTCATGTCCATATATAAATTTTAGTAAAACTTTTAAAGCCTTATCAACTGAACACTTATGAGTATTTTCTGTATGTATATTATACATCAGAGTTTTTATAAAGTTCACCTATAGAAACAAATATGACCAGATATTAAAAATAATACAAATAAAAGGTTAAAATGACCAACAAAGTGCTTCATCATCATGAATCCCCAAGGGAATTGGATGAGTAGAGCCTCAAATCACTCGTGCCAGACATGCAAGGTGGTCAAGAAGCAAATACTTGCACAGCCACAGAGATAATGAGGTTGTTCTTTATTGTAGCTTAACCTAGTCCATTCTGACTGATCCACTATTGTATTTGAAATTGCAGCTTTGACTTCTCATATTGTTTGCCTGTCTCCCTTGCTTAGTTTTATTTTCAGAACTCATATCATCATTTAACATACTATATTTTTTACTTTTTTATTACCATAGATGTTTGGTTTTCCTGCATTAAGAGTGAAAGACATATTTATTTTGTTAACATATGCCTGACACATAATACAAACTTATTAATGTTTGTTTAATGAATAAAAAAAATGAAAAAAGGAAAATCATGAAACAGGGTAAATTAGTGCAACCACTTGCGGAAGAAATTAGTGAGAGCTTACAAAATTAAAGATATTCTTGTCCTAAACTTAAAACTTTGGTTCTAGGAATATGCGCAGGAAGGTTATATAAGGTTGTATGTTGCAGCACATTTAAAAAAAAAAAAAAAAAAAACATGGAAACAGAGGGAAAACAAAAATTTATCTCCAGGAATATAGATATATAAATATACAAACAATCCTATTACTATCAATTTATTCAAAAATTTTCAGATTATAAAGTTAAGGGGAAAGATAGGTTGAAAAATGATCAATATGATACTATTTAGCAAAATACATATGTCTAAGCACTAAATTTTCAGATTTTCAGTTTACATTAATGTATGCTGTTGTTCATGAGTGTTCTTTTAGCATGGAACTTCCTATTCAAATATATTACTAATAGAATTATTTTCAGCTTACATGGTCACTATTCATTTTGCAACCTATCTTTCCCCTTAACTTTATGATTTGAAATTTTGTCTCTTAGACACAAGGAATCTATGAATGTTTTTCTGGTTTCTTGGAGATTTTTTTGTTTTCTTTATTTCATTATAATTTTTATGAAATTTGATTAATTGTTGCATTTTTACCTCACTGCCTTACTGACTTCACATATTATATGAAACCGAGTAAAGTCAAAACTATTTCCCCACCCTGGACCCCAGTTGGAGATATATGAGTAAACACATAGGACTCTGGTTGGAGACAGATGAGTACTCAGTTCCTTAAGAATTGAATGGAAAGAAAACAT